TATGAATATTAATACCCACTACCATCCATATCCATACTCTGTTTCTTGCTCTGGCCAATTGTTTTTCGCGTTAATGCATACTTAATCATTTAAATTGAAAAGAAATACTCAATAAGATACAAATAATCCACATGAAAAGCATATTTTAAGTGGTAAGATTTACTTTAATTTTTCCTCATCTCTTCGATCAAACATCCCTCAGCACATCATTAGTTTTACAGTCACAGACTTCTTACTCATCATTGTACAAGAAACTGCTCATGTTTGTTGTACAATAAAGATTCATTAAATATTCATAAATGTGCTGAAAAGTCATCAATATTGTTACAAACAGAAAATGTTTTTAAATTAACATAAGTTGCGAAGGGCTGAAATTGAGGAGGAGGGTAAATAATTAAAATTCATAAATTGAAGAAATCATTTTATAAATATTCATTAACATTAGATTAATTCTGTAAAAGGCAGGGCACTAAAACAAATATTTAATACTCTTTTTTTCGTTTTTTTTTTTTCATTAAAGATTTAAAATTTTATGGAATAATTTTTTATGAATTTTTTCCTTGGTGGATTTCTTCTCCAAAAAAAGTGTTAATTCAAAAGTTTTAATTTTTGCTGTTTTCTTTTAAAGGGTGTCTGGAAAAATTTTACTTTCATGATTGATGTTTTTCTGCTGGCAAAATGACAAATTGACTTTAGTTTTATAAAAAGTAATTTAGCAAAAGAAAAAATCTTAAAAATGTTTCAGTTACTGCCATTAGGGATCATTTTCCTAAAGTTGACAAAATATTGCTGATGACAAAGTAACAGACATCGGAAAAAAAACGCACTGAATCAATTGACAAATTGTTTTGCTACCGGAATAAAAAGCTGTTGATAACATTTGATGATGACATGTTTGTTTGGTATTAGTTATTAATCATATGCAAAGATTTTTCAATTTGTTAATGTTGGTGTAAATCAGAAGAAAAGGTTAAATGTTTAATAGCCAGAAAATAATGGTTCATAGATTTGTTTTTTGCTCTACCACTCTCACTCTCTCTCCGCCTCATACGAAATTACTTTTTTTGGGGAACGATTAATTCTATTGTTGCAATCTACTTTTATGATTCTAACTACTAAATCAGAGAACTGGGATCAGAGTTTTTCGATCCCTAACAAAATCAAATTTGACTAGTTACGAATGAGTCATCCACCAATTTGTTGCGGACCACAAGTCGTATGAGCAACATTTGTTCAAATTAAAACATTCACTTTCATTACTTTATAGGGAATCTTTATTGAAAAACTTCTTGGGGTAAAATAAAAGTTTATATATATTACAACAAAAGTTAAATTTAATCGGTTTGTATATTATAAGCTTAAAATAATCATACATATTTAAATTGTTTAAATTTTTAAATATTTCTTTGGTTTTAAAACAATTTGTATTCACACCTTTTTTAATTTGCCATACATTTGATATGTATGTATTTATTTGTTATTTGTTCTTATACCCTACAGGGAGGGGAGGGTATATTGGGTTTGTGCTGATGTTTGTAACGCACAATAATATTGGTCCTATACCCACCTTAAAGTATACCAATCGGCTTAGAATCATTTTCTGAGTCGATTTAGCTATGTCCGTCCATCTGTCTGTCCGTCCATGTAAACCTTGTTATCAAACTATAGGTCACAAGATAATTCAATAAAATTTGGCGCATGATCTTCTATTGTCCCAGGGACAAAGCCTATTGAAAATAGTTAAGATCGGTCCATTATTTTACCTAGCCCCCATACTAATAAATGGCTTAAGTATAATTCAAGGCAAGGTACAATTCAACTTAAATGCTTTAATATGAAAACTAAATCACATTTTATTTTTGTAACAGGCGTAGGGTATTATATGGTCGACTTCGCCCGACTATAATTTCTTACTTTTTTCTATATGTATACATATGTTTGTTGGTTACCATTATTACTGTGTAAAATAATGGCAAAAATATTTTCATTTATATTTAGTATAAAACCAAAAATACCATACACAAACATGCACATAACCCAGCAAACAGAAAGGTTTGATTGCAAACTAAATATGATCTGAAATCAAAACTATTATCAAATGTAAACGTTTATGTATAAATTATCTCTAATTTAAACATGTGATGACAGTTATGAATAATTTCAATAGAAACAACTTTAATGTTTGTTGGGTTATTTACACATAGACACACGCACCATTGGTTGACAATAAAATTGTGGTTTTAAATTTAATTACAAGGTTCAATGCTAGCAATAATACCATTTCAATGTGAATAATTTTCTATACTATAGTTTAAAATTCCATACAAACACATTCTTTCTTTGATACACATATTTACGCACACACTCAAACACACCCACTGACAAACTGATGGACAGCCAGATAGAGTGCAATAATCATTGTATCTGTGAAGTATCTGTGATGACTAAAGTCAATTCAAAACCAAAACCATCAACACCTTTTCATGACTTCACATGAATAGTTGTACACAAAATGCAATTATATTATAAATACATACATACATGTATGTATGTATGTATGTATATGTATTTTCTCTTAATGTTTATGCGTTTGAAGATTTGCATATGTATTTGTGTAATGGTTTACAATTACATTTTCATTTATAAACATCAATATGATTATCCAACAAAATTTTCATTCATCACATAATACTTGATTACTGGTGCATGTAAAAAAGCGAGGATCATAAGGAAATTTGGAAACATCAAAATAGAATTAAAAGCTTTTACATAACTTACCAAACTTTCTATTTTTTAACAATATTTGTCCTAACTATACCGATCAACTCAGAAACACTTTCTGAGTCCGTCAGTCTGGCATTTCAATGTCAACATTGTTAAATATTAAAACAATATTTCCCTTTTTATAGAAATATCTTTCAATTTTTTATAGAAAATTTTCGGAAAAAGTTTTCTTTTTAATGAAAAATTTTTTTTTATATAGAAAATTTTCGGGAAAATTTCTCTTTTTATATTGAAAATTTCGGGAAAATTTCTCTTTTTATATAGAACATTTTCGGAAAATTTCTCTTTTTATATAGAAAATTTTCGGAAATTTTCCCTTTTTATATAAAATTTCTCTTTTTATAGAAAATTTTCGGAAAATTTCTCTTTTTTATATGAAAATTTATTTCGGAAAATTTCTCTTTTTATAGAAAATTTTCGGAAAATTTCTCTTTTTATAGAAAATTTTCGGAAAATTTCTCTTTTTATAGAAAATTTTCGGAAAATTTCTCTTTTTATAGAAAATTTTCGGAAAATTTCTCTTTTTATAGAAAATTTTCGGAAAATTTCTCTTTTTATAGAAAATTTTCGGAAAATTTCTCTTTTATAGAAAATTTTCGGAAAATTTCTCTTTTTATAGAAAATTTTCGGAAAATTTCTCTTTTATAGAAAATTTTCGGAAAATTTCTCTTTTTATAGAAAATTTTCGGAAAATTTCTCTTTTTATAGAAAATTTTCGGAAAATTTCTCTTTTTATAGAAAATTTTCGGCAAATTTCTCTTTTTATAGAAAATTTTCGGCAAATTTCTCGTTTTATATAAAATTTTCGGAAAATTTCTTTTTTGATAGAAAATTTTCGGAAAATTTCTTTTTTTATAGAAAATTTTCGGAAAATTTCTTTTTTTATAGAAAATTTTCGGAAAATTTCTCTTTCTATAGAACATTTTCGGAAAATTTCTCTTTCTATAGAATATTTTCGGAAAATTTCTCTTTCTATAGAATATTTTCGGAAAATTTCTCTTTCTATAGAACATTTTCGGAAAATTTCTCTTTCTATAGAACATTTTCGGAAAATTTCTCTTTCTATAGAACATTTTCGGAAAATTTCTCTTTCTATAGAACATTTTCGGAAAATTTTTCTTTCTATAGAAAATTTTGAAAAATTTCTCCTTTTATGGAATATTTTCGGAAATTTTATCTTTAATAGAAAATTTTCAGGAGATTTCTCTTTCTATAGAGAATTTTTGTAAAAATGCTCTTCTTATAGAAAATGCTTGAAACAATTTTTGGTTAATAATTATTATAAAGCACACTTACCTGACAACCCTCGTTTCTTTTTACAGAGAATGTGTAAAGCGTGTTAAATGTATTGGCAGCGGTAAATTCAAACAACAATTTACTCACAAATACTTAAATTAAAGGTTAACAGTAACATTTTGTAAAATTTAAATCGAAAATTTAACAAAAATTCTCAAATGATAAAACACTTTACGGAGTATTTGAGAGCAATTACTGGCAAAAAGTCAAGAGCAACACAAAAACTACTCCAATAAATGTACAACTAAAAGTGTTGCTGCTAATAGTTGCAAACAAATCAGTTGAATATGTTGCTACTGGTTACAGCTAACAAACCTTTCTCTGTCTGTCATTCAAATGATATAGAGAAATATTGAAAATTCTAAAGAACTATTCAAGAAAATTAATTCAATTTAAAATTCATTTAATTAAATGTATGTGTAAATTTGTAAGATATTTTATTTGGAAAGATTGTTGCTCAATTTGTTAGTAGCTCTTGCAATGTTTGCAGTTTTACTACTTGTTATTTTGTTTAATTTTATAAAATTTTTTTGTAGGAATTTTAATACCAAAAATTCTTTACTAATGGAGCAATTTAAGTTTGTTTTCTAAAGATATTTTGTTGTTGTTGTTGTTGTTGTTGTTGCAGCAACATTTCAATGTTCATTGTGGTTAAAAGAAGAATTTTTGTTGATTGAAAAGTACATTTTTACTTGTTAAATAAATTCTTGGAAATGTCAAGAAAATTTTGTGTTGAAAGTTAGAAAAGGTAGAAGAAAATGTTAAGATAAAATATTATAAATAAAATATATTTGAAGAGTTGGTTATTAGAATTAAAATGTTAAATATTATTAAATTTACTTTATAGAAATATTCTTTTATTTTTCTTAAAATATTTTTTTAATCATTAATATTGTTTTTTCCCCCCCTTTACTTTCTAGTGTGCCAATGTAATGGTCATGCACGTCGCTGTCGTTTCAATTTGGAATTGTATAAATTATCTGGACGTGTATCGGGTGGTGTCTGCTATAATTGTCAGCACGATACAACCGGAAGATACTGTCATTATTGTCGTGAAGGATTCTATAGAGACAATACAAAACCGCTTAATCATCGTAAAGTATGCAAACGTAAGTAATGTTGATTTTTGAAAATAAAAAGCTTTTACTGATTCATTTATATTGGAAAATTCGAAAATAAGTAATATAGTAAGTAACGATATTGTAGTAAGTAACGATATTGTAGTCGTTAGATTCAATCTTATATAAACGACAGTATTAAACATTTGAAGGAAGTCTACGTCTACATGAGATCATTAAAAATCAATTTCATTTTCATAGAAAAATTTCGAATAATTTATTTTTTCATAAACAATTTTCGGAAATATTAATTTCTCTTTTAAGGAAAATTTTTGAAATTTTCTTATATATTACAAAAATTTTAATCTTTGTATCTCTTTTCTCTCTTATATTTCTTTTATAGAAAAATTTCGAAAAATTTGTTTTTTAATAAAAATTTTGGGATAATCTCTCTTTTTATAGAAAATTTTGGGAAAATTTCTCTTTTTTTTAGAAATTTTTTCGAAAAGTTTTAATTTTCGGAAAATTTCTCTTTTTATTAGAAATGTCCTTTTTATGGAACAATTTCGTAACTTTTCCTTTTTTATGCAACATTTTCGGAAATTTCTTTTTTATAGAATATTTTCGGAAATTTACCTTTTTATGGAAAATTTTCGGAAAATTTCTCTTTTTATAGAAAATTTGGGGAAAATTTCCTTTTTATAGAAAATTTTCGGAAAATTTCCTTTTTATAGAAAATTTGCGGAAAATTTCCTTTTGATAGAAAATATTGAAAAAATTCCTTTATAGAACATTTTCGGAAATTTTCCTTTTTATAGAAAATTTGCGGAAAATCTTCTTTTTATAGAAAATTTGCGGAAAATTTTCTTTTTATAGAAAATATTCGAAAAATTTCCTCTATAGAACATTTTCGGAAATTTTCCTTTCTATAGCACATTTTCGGAAAATTTCATTTTTATGGAATATTTTCAGAAAATATACTTTATAAAGAACATCTTCAGAAAATTTATAATTTCATAGAAAATTTTCGGAAAAATTCTCTTTTTACACAAAATTTTCGAAAAATTTCTCTTTTTACATACAATTTTCGGAAAATTTCTCTTTTTATTTTCGGAAAATTTCTGTCTTTTATAGAACATTTTCGGAAAATTTCTCTTTTTATAGAACATTTTCGGAAAATTCTCTTTTTATAGAACATTTTCGGAAAATTTCTCTTTTTATAGAACATTTTCGGAAAATTTCTCTTTTTACAGAAAATTTTAGGAAAATTTCTCTTTTTATAGAACAATTTGGAAAATTTCTCTTTTTATAGAACATTTACGGAAAATTTCTCTTTTTATAGAAAATTTTCGGAAAATTTCTCTTTTTATAGAACATTTTCGGAAAAATTTTCTTTTTCTAGAAAATTTTCGGAAAATTTCTCTTTTTATGGAACATTTTCGGAAAATTTCTCTTTGTAGAACATTTTCGGAAAATTTCTCTTTTTATAGAACATTTTCGGGAAATTCTCTTTTTATTGAACATTTTTGGAAAATTTCCTTTTTATAGAACATTTTCTGAAAATTAGATTGTTTTAGAAAATTTTCGGTTCTTAAAGAGAAAAATCTCTATATTATAGGGAATATTTTTATATAAAAAATATTCGCTTAGTCCCATTGTGTATCTCTATAACACGAAATTAATTAAATTCATTTCGATAAGTATAAAAAATTGTTATAATGTCATTCCCAAAAGATACATTATTAAAAGGAAATTTTATCAATAAAAACAACAACACTCCCATCACACGTCACTCTGATGTATCCACAATGATTCGTCAAATAAAATGTCAAAACTAAACAATAAAATTTTTAGCAATTCATAGAAAAAGGAAAGATAAATAGTTTCAGTTTTTTACATCAACTAAATAATCTGTTAGACATGTCTTTCGCCATGGCTAAGCGAATTTGTAGCAAAACGACAAAAATAAAAAGTTTAAGCGATTAAGGTGGATTTAAGTGGTATTTTTATTCAATAATCCTCAAAAAAAAGAAACTTTTCTAAAAAATTTTGTGTTTAAGTTATTGTGTATTTTGTGAGAAAAAGTTTTAGCTAAATTCCAATTTAATCGATTTTTTTTGTAGTTTCTTTTGTTTGCTTTTGTTGGAATCTATATGGTATAATAACAACACGTAGATATGAAAAAATTTCTATATGAAAACATTAGCAAAAGACAAAAATAATTTGAAAATCTGGGATTTTTTATATGCAGAGACTGACACTAGCCAAACCATATAAAAGACCAGAGTACTTTGTCCATCATCATTGTCAGCAGCAGGGGCAGCAACAGCATGTACACAACCACACAGGGACTTGATATACATATACTGTACCACTTATCATACAGTATAAAGTTGTCTGTATTCATACTTCATCAATTCATTGATTTTTTTTTCTCAACATACTCCTCTTACTCCTATTCCTGCTGTTCCATTTAGTTTTAACTATGTTTGCAAGTATGTGTTTTTAAATGGATTTTTTGTTTGTCCCAAAACATTGTGTTGGGGTGCTGGTGCTGGTGCTGGTACAATGTCCAGTGTGCTTTTGACTTTGACAAACAATGTCTCTATATATTGAGAATGAAAAGAAGAAAAAAATAATCATTTTGAAATTTTCCTATTCTATTCATTATTTACATTCTATTCGTTTTAAGTATGAGTATTTTTTTATTTGTTTATTTTGTTTTTGTCGATTCCTATTGTGTTTTTATGGAAGCATTTGGAAGTGTTTAATAATAAACTTGATTTTATTATTGGAGTGAAAAAAAAAAAAAAAAAAATATTTGTTAAATTCTCCAACGTCATTAAGTGGGTGTGTATGTGGCCAAATTAAGTAATACCTAAGGCAGATACTTAAAGGAATTTCTTCTAATATTATAAAAACCACAATCGGCACCCAAAATGAAACACTTATACAAACGCAATAGATAAAAACAAGCTTTTAAGCTTTCAGAAAGCTTGTCATGTCTGATATTTAAGAATAAGTGTGAATGCATAAAAATCAAAAAATAGCTGCAATTATTTGTAGACTTCATTCTTTTCGAACTCTGTTTTCAACTTAATTTTTATATGTATGTTTGTATTTGAGTTTGTGGTTTTTTATCTATTTTCAAATGTTTTATTTTGGCGGCATTTAATTCGTTTTATATCTCATCACAGAAAAAAATTTTATTTAATTATTATTGTAGGTTGCCACTGTTCGTTTTAATGGACCTTTTAATTTTTTTTTTTTGTTTTTTTTTTTTTCAGTTTTGCACAAATTAAATTTTATTTAGATAACACTGTAGGGGTGTGTGCCCATTAAAGTGTTTTTTTGGTATATTTAGTTTATAAAATTAGTTTTTAATTGAATTTAAATTACATTATTGCAAAAGTTTTGGTAAAACAATTAAACTGCGAAAAAAATATAATAGAATCAAATTTTTAGATGAAATGGAAACGAAATCATTTTGAAGTGGATTTTGGATTAAATAAATAAAAACTTTACAAGGGGGCTTTTTAAGATATGTAAAACTCCATCACACGTGCTGTAAGAAGAACGTTTCGACTATATTCTAGTCGATTGCTTTATTCTGGTCTACTCTTGTCAACTTTATTCTAGTCGACTCTATTCAAGTGGCCTCTATTCTATTCGTCTCTATTCTAGCCTCTGACTCTGTTATAGTCGCTTCTATTCTAGTCGTCTCTATTCTAGTTGACTCTAGTATAGTCGCCTCTATTCTAATCGATACTGTTCTAATCGACTCCTTTCTAGCCGACTCTGTTCTATACGACTCTGTTCTAGTCGACTGTGTTCTAGACGACTCTATTCTAGTCGACTCTGTTCTAGTCGCCTAGTCCCCTCTATTCTAGTCCCCTTTATTCTAGTCAACTCCATTCTAGTCGCCACTATTCTAGATGACTCTGTTCTAGTTGCCCCTATTCTAGTTGACTCTGTTATAGTCGCTTCTACTCTAGTCGTCTTTATTCTAGTCGCCCCTATTCTAGTCGACTCTATTCTAGTTGACTCTATTCTAGTCGACTCTATTCTAGTCGACTTTGTTCTAATCGACTCTGTTCTAGTCGACTCTATTCTAGTCGACTCTATTCTAGTCGCCCCTATTCTAGTTGACTCTATTCTAGTCGACTCTATTCTAGTTGCCTCTATTCTAGTCGACTCTGTTCTACAGGACTCTATTATCTTCGACTCTGTTCTAGTCGACTCTATTCTAGTCGACTCTATTCTAGTCGACTCTATTCTAGTCGACTTTGTTCTAATCGACTCTGTTCTAGTCGAGTCTATTCTAGTCGACTCTATTCTAGTCGACTCTATTCTAGTCGACTCTATTCTAGTCGACTCTATTCTAGTCGACTCTATTCTAGTCGACTCTATTCTAGTCGACTCTATTCTAGTCGACTCTATTCTAGTTGCCTCTATTCTAGTCGACTCTGTTCTAGAGGACTCTATTCTATTCGACTCTGTTCTAGTCGACTCTATTCTAGTCGACTTTGTTCTAATCGACTCTGTTCTAGTCGACTCTATTCTAGTCGACTCTATTCTAGTCGCCCCTATTCTATTCTAGTCTATTCTAGTCGACTCTGTTCTAGAGGACTCTATTCTCTTCGACTCTGTTCTAATAGACTCTGTTCTAGTCGACTCTAGTTGACTTTGTTCTAATCGACTCTGTTCTAGTCGACTCTATTCTAGTCACCCCTATTCTAGTTGATCGCCTTTATTCTAGTCGACTCTATTCTAATCGACTCTAATCTAGTGGACTCGTTTTTAAACAGCTCGATTCTATTCGTCTCTATTCTAGTTGACTCTGTTCTAGTCGAATCTATTCTAGTTGACTCTATTCTAGTCGCCTCTATTCTAGTCGACTATATTCTAGTTGCCTCTATTCTAGTCGACTCTGTTCTAGTCAACTTTGTTCTGGTCAACTCTGTTCTAGTCGCCTATATTCTAGTCGTCTCTATTCTAGTTGCCTCTATTATAATCGACTCTGTTCTAGTCGACTCTATTCTAGTCGACTCTGTTCTACTGTTGGCTCTATTCTAGTTGCTTCTATTCTTGTTGACTCTGTTCTAGTCGTCTCTATTCTAGTCGACTCTATTCTAGTTGCCTCTACTCTAGTCGACTCTGTTCTAGTTGCCTCTATTCAAGTCGACTCTATTCTCTTCGACTCTGTTCTAGTCGCCTCTATTCTAGTCGAATCTATTCTAGCCGACTCTATTCTAGTTGCCTCTATTCTAGTCGACTCCGTTCTAGTTGAATCTATTCTAGTCGACTCTATTCTAGTCGCCTCTATTCTAGTCACGCCTATTCTAGTTGACTCTATTCTAGTCGACTCTATTCAAGTTGCTTCTATTATAGTTGACTCTGTTCTAGTCGTCGTCTAGTCTAGTCTGTTCTAGTCGTCGTCTAGTCTTCTAGTCGACTCCATTCTAGTCGACTCTATTCTAGTTGCCTCTATTCTAGTTGATTCTATTCTAATCTATCTATTCTAATCGACTCTATTCAATAGGGTCGATTAGAATAGAGTCGACTAGAACGGAGTCGACTAGAATAGAGGCAACTAGAATATAGTCGTCTAAAGCATAGTCGACTAGAATAGAGTCTATTCTAGACTCTATTCTAGCTGTCTTCAGTTGTCTCTATTCTAGTCTACTGATCGAGTCTACTTAAGTAGACTTCAGATGACTTTAGTGTTGTCAACTCTATGTTTTCTCGCGTTTATGCTTTTATCATATAATCATATAAAAACTGCTAAGTTCTCGAGCTTTAAGGGATTGAATTATATTTTTTAATTTGATTAAAGCTTTATCCAGTTTCTAATTAAAAAATTATTCCAAATTTCGTTAATTTTAGGCTGTGACTGTCACCCCGTAGGATCAACAGGCAAAACTTGCAATCATTTGAGTGGTCAATGTCCTTGCAAAGAAGGAGTAACTGGACTAACCTGTAATCGTTGTGCACGAGGTTATCAACAGACCAGATCTCATGTGGCACCCTGTATAAGTAAGTAGTGACAGAGAAATGTAATTTTTTAAATAAACAAGAATACTCATTCTCAAATCAGCACACACACACACTGTTAAAAGAGCAGAAAAAGAAGTGAAAACTTAACATACTTCTATAGTCAGTCAAACAGACGAACACTCAAATTCTTTCAGTCATTTAGACAGTCACTGTTTTAAAAAAATTGCAATTTAATTAAAACTACTATAGTATCTGTTATAATTTTTTTATTAATATATTATTTCTTTTACTCTTTTTATTGCACATGCTATACTTTTAATTTCATTTGGGGCAACACCAAACAATTCAACTGCAATACAAAAATCTACTCAAACCATTCATTCTTTCATTCATTCCACCATCTACATCACCACCATTGATGATGATTTTTATTTTTTTCAAAACGACATGTATATTGTTGGCCATATTGTTGCTGTTGTTGTACGACCCAATTAACAGAAGTGCCAACAAATGCAAATATGATACAAGCTGAAAGTGCAGCGGTCAGTGAATATAGAGAACCCACCCAAGCAGAGGAAATGAAAAAATGTAAGTTTCAAAATCACAAAAAAAAAACATAAAAAAGCTTTAATGATGATATAAATTTTTATATCATATAAGAGTGAGAAAAAAAAAAAAAAAGAATTAAACTGATTTTTAAATTTCTTTTTTGTTTTCATTTCATATTTAACAAACATGCAACAGATTGTGGCAAATGTAAAGCAACGCCAAAAAAATTAAATTTAAATAAATTCTGTATGGAAGATTATGGTAAGTTTCGTTTGCGTTTTTGTTTATTGTTATGTGTTTAAACATTAAAGCCATAATAGCTTAATTGTTAATTGAAGCAAATTTCTTAAAAATTAACTTTGTTGTGTTAAATTTTGTGTAATTAATTGTGTTTTTATTATTTGCATTTTCATTTCATTATAGCCATTCTTGCCAAAGTTATAGGCCATGATCGTGCCTCACAGGATATCAGCACTGAGAAATTCTCCATCGAACGACAAAATGAAATTTTTAAATATGAAATTAATATACAAACGATATTCAAACGAAATGCCATGTCTGGCACTACAAGTTCTATGCTAAGTAGGGGACACATGATGTGGCTGGTGCCGCGTAAAATTTAGAGTGCCAGTGTCCAAAAATTAAATTGAATAAGTAAGTACAATTTAAAATTGTTTCAAAAATACGATTTTACACCTTAACTATATATCTTGACTATAGTCTAGATTATAGACTAGACGATAGATTAGACTATAGTAAAGACTATACACTGGACTCTAGCCTAGGCTATAGGGCAGAATTTAAGCTAGTGTATAGTCTAGACTATAGACTAGACACTAGTCCAGACTGTAGACAATAGTTCAGACTGTAGACAATAGTCCAGACTGTAGACTATAGTCCAGACTATAGACTAGACTGTAGTCCAGACTAGACTATAGTCTAGTCTAGTAGTCTAGTCTATAGTCTAGTCTATAGTCTAGTCTATAGTCTAGTCTATAGTCTAGTCTATAGTCTAGTCTATAGTCTAGTCTATAGTCTAGTCTATAGTCTAGTCTATAGTCTAGTCTATAGTCTAGTCTATAGTCTAGTCTATGTCTATAGTCTAGTCTATAGTCTAGTCTATAGTCTAGTCTATAGTCTAGTCTATAGTCTAGTCTATAGTCTAGTCTATAGTCTAGTCTATAGTCTAGTCTATAGTCTAGTCTATAGTCTAGTCTATAGTCTAGTCTATAGTCTAGTCTATAGTCTAGTCTATAGTCTAGTCTATAGTCTAGTCTATAGTCTAGTCTATAGTCTAGTCTATAGTCTAGTCTATAGTCTAGTCTATAGTCTAGTCTATAGTCTAGTCTATAGTCTAGTCTATAGTCTAGTCTATAGTCTAGTCTATAGTCTAGTCTATAGTCTAGTCTATAGTCTAGTCTATAGTCTAGTCTATAGTCTAGTCTATAGTCTAGTCTATAGTCTAGTCTATAGTCTAGTCTATAGTCTAGTCTATAGTCTAGTCTATAGTCTAGTCTATAGTTAGTCTATAGTCTAGTCTATAGTCTAGTCTATAGTCTAGTCTATAGTCTAGTCTAGTCTAGTCTATAGTCTAGTCTAGTCTAGTCTATAGTCTAGTCTAGTCTATAGTCTAGTCTATAGTCTAGTCTATAGTCTAGTCTATAGTCTAGTCTATAGTCTAGTCTATAGTCTAGTCTATAGTCTAGTCTATAGTCTAGTCTATAGTCTAGTCTATAGTCTAGTCTATAGTCTAGTCTATAGTCTAGTCTATAGTCTAGTCTATAGTCTAGTCTATAGTCTAGTCTATAGTCTAGTCTATAGTCTAGTCTATAGTCTAGTCTATAGTCTAGTCTATAGTCTAGTCTATAGTCTAGTCTATAGTCTAGTCCTATAGTCTAGTCTATAGTCTAGTCTATAGTCTAGTCTATAGTCTAGTCTAGTCTATAGACTAAACTTTATAGACTATGGACTAGACTATAGACTAGACTAAAGACTAATCTATAGACTAGACTATAGACTAATCTATAGACTAGACTATAGAATAGATTATAAGCTAGAGTATGGTCCAGATTGTAGCCTATCCTTTAAACTAGATTATGGTACAGACTATAGACAAGACTATATCCTAAACATTATTATAGACTATAGACTAGACTATATTTTGGACTATAGCCTAGTCTATTATTTGACTATAATCTAGACTATAGTCTACTGCATAGTTAGGGCTTTAGTCCACACTTTAGTCCGGATATATAGATATTTTAATATTATCTATGCTTTGGATTAATTCTATCTATAGTATGGGTTAAAGTCCAATCAAGACTCTAAAAATTATACATAAAGTCTAAAAACTTTTCTATAGTCTGTGCTATGTCTTGTCTATCGTCCAGACCAACATCTAGTCTGTGTTATAATCTGGGCAAAAGTCTAGTCTGAAGAGTGGATTAGAGTCCAGTCGGTATTCTAGATTTTGGTATATTATACAGTTTGGAGAATAGTATGGTCTATAGTCTGAACATAAGTCTATTCCACAATCTGGACTATATCGTACTCTATAGACTGGACTGTGGTTTGATGTAAATTCTAGTGGATTTCGTGGGCTATATTATGTAGCCTGAACAATTGTCGAAACTATTGTACAGTCTAGAGGCTGAACTTGTCTATAGTCTGGACTTAGTCTAGCCTGTGAAATGAACTATAATTTTGTCTTTAGTCTAGTCTACCATATATCCTCTAGTCTGTCATTTAGTTATCTATTCTCTAGTCTGTTGGTTTAGATATGCTTATAAGTAGTTGAACTTTAACTCTAATTTTTTATGCAACATTTCTATTAAGTTTTTAATTTATTTCCGATCTTTATCTTTCAGATCATATTTAATTTTGGGACGTGACTCTGAGGCGGCACCCGGCTATTTGGCCATCGGTCCCAGTTCCGTTGTATTAGAGTGGAAAGATGAATGGTCGCTGCGTATGAAACGTTTTCAACGACGAGCGCGTAAATGTAGTTGAATCGAACCGGAAGCGGAATATGTCAAAACGGATTTTAATTTCGTACATTTGGAACGTTATAGATTTTTGTATAAATTGTACAGTTTGCTCAAATTTTTAACTTTCTTTGGCATTATGCTATAAATAGAAACAAATACATAAATAATATTTAATTAATGAATAATATATATATAAATATATATAAAAAAGAAAGTAACACAAACAAACACACATATACATATATAAACAAATACAAAATAATATAATACTTAAACATAGAAAAACTAACATTTTAACACAGGTTATTAGAGAAGAGAAGAGGTATTAACAAATTTAGCTTTTAATATAAATTTATGATTTTAAATTTTTAGTTTTAAATAATATTATTTTTTTAAAGCCCTGATACTTAATTCATTTTTAATCACACACATATATACTATATGACATTAAAGTGGAATCAAATTCAACTCCTTTAACACACACACACCTACTTACATATTGAAAAAATTATATTTTATTGAAAAAATTATGGCCATAGTAGAGGAAGCGGAAGAAGAGAAAAAAATTAACCACAAATTATGGTTGAAACTAACGATTAAAAAAAATTTACACACATACACAGAAGAAGAAAACAAGAGTAGAGAAAAACAGAAATCATATTCATACATGTCTAGAGCTGTGTAAAATCATGGTTAATTAATTATTCAATGAAAATCCCTTAAGGGAATATAGAGAGATTTTTTTTTGTTTTAAATTTTAATTTAATTCTACTCGTATTGTGAAAAAAAACTCGTAATAAAAGCGAACAAAAAAATCAAACTTCATAAATATACTTTTATTGTTTATTCTTTAATAATATTTTATAATAATAATTATACTTACATATGTATATGTATGTATATGTGCTAGTTATTATTTTGTATATTTATTTATTAAATTTTGCCATGTTTTGTTTTTTCTTTTTCCCAAATGTATTTTTATGCAAATATATTTAAAACAAAATAAAAAAATAACATTTAAATGCTAATGAATATGAACATATTTGAAAAATACTTAGTTATAGTGAAAATTAGTATGAGAGAGTATGGTAGAAAATATGATGGTAGTAATTTATCACCAAAAACAAATTATTATTAAAAAAAAATGATTTAACAGCAAAAAAATAATAAATAATGTAAAATCACAAAATATCATTGACATTTTCTTTTAGGCTGTGTTAACGTTTTTTTATTTAATTCAAAATTCGTTAACTTTAATTTTAAGATGAATCTAATTTATGTCTGTAATAAATATAATAATAAAATATTTTTAATTAATACTTAAACTATCTAAACCAATCTTTGATTTAATATACCAGTAAAAACTTTCATTACCACGTAAGGGGTATAAATGCTAAAATTTACTTAAACAAAAACACGCTAATGCATTAAAGGCAAGTACTTACCACAAACGATTACAAGTAATTAGAAAAAGTAGTCATTAGTAAGAACTTATTAGACTACTTCTATGTAATGCAGCCGATATGTAGTAGTCATTGAAAAGTATGTTGTTAGGTAAGTAATTACAATTAAAAACCATTATCTAGTCTTTGATGGGAAGTACTACACTTTGATGCTCTTTTTGCACACTTATTGTGCGATGTCCGATGGACTAAACACGTTTTCCAAACTGTCGAAAGAAGCATGCAAGTGTCTAGGTTTTTTGAATCGTTGTAAGACATACTTCACTCCATCTGATCTTCTTACTATTTACACCACTTATATCCGAACGAAAATGGAATACAACTCCCATGTATAGGCCGGAGCTTCGAAGTCTATTTTGGAGCTACTCGACCGCGTACAAAAGAGGGCGAGGGTACTTATCGATGACAGTAGGGTATCCAACTCTATTGATTCACTGGAGCACCGTCGCAACGTGGGGTGTATTTCACTGTTCTATCGATACTATAAGGGAATGTGTTCCTCTGAAGTTAGGAAACTCGTTCCCGATATCCGTATATTTTTACGCAGCACACGACTGACATCAAAAACACACCCATCTGTGGTCGATTGGCCAATGGAACGCACAACACATTACAGGGAAAATTCATCCATCAGCCGCACTGTTCGTATGTGGAACAAACTTCCTGTAGAAGTATTCCCCGCCACTTTGGATGTGAAAAGGTTTAAATCAAATGTGCACAAACACTACTCCCTCTATCTTCCCGCCCACAACCTATTTTCCTAGTTCCAGCACAATACACTGCATGAGTAGTGGTCATCCCCTGAGTGCTAGTCCAAGAAAAAAAGCAGATGGGTGCTTTTTATACCCACCATCGAAAAATGTAGGTGTATTTTCATTTTGTCATTCCGTTTCTAACACATCGAAATATTAGTCATAGTCCCACAAAGAAATTATATTCATACTAAATTCTAAGACGATCATATCATATCTGTCCATCTGTTAAAGGAAGGTTGAAAATTTCCATAGATATTCACTATAGGTAAGGTTTGTTTGGTTTTTCAAATAACAACATCGGTCCACGTATTCGATGTTTTAACAATTTTATGATTTTTTTTATAAAACCTTATCAGAATATAAAATTCCAGATAATAAAAAAAAATACACCTAAAGTTTCAGTAAAATCGAATAATGTTAACCCATAAACTGTGAAGCTCAAACTCATGCTATGAAATATTGATGAGGGCTACCTGGCGTGTAGCCCTATCTCACGGTGGTACTTTTTCAACCACTGGGTGAGTATCAAGTAAACAACTCACCACTGCCCCTTTGTGTTTGTTACACGCAGGTCGCAATTTTTGTACATGGATATGCCGGTCCATGTACAAGCACTTTGCTCAAGTACTCGAGCTATCTAATCTCTTGCCAAAGTAGTCACGTTGAGGAAATACAGGTGTCATGAGCAAGCTCAATCTACCCCGACATAATGTCGCCCAACCACACTACTAAGGCTCTGTTGATTCGGCAACAGCACCTAGGGGACGTAATTGGTAGTCCGAAAAACACAGATTATATTAATTGACAAGACTTTATTTCAGTGGTCACAGACACCCACTGTGATAAGTTGAGCATACACTCAACCATGTTGGAAAATCGCTTCAAAATTAAAGAAAGGGCAGTGACGACTTCGCACTCCATTGGCTAGATAGACCGTAGTCTAACTCTCATTCATCATTCATCGTTCATCTTACATCTGTACCCCATTATCACACATCCGTCAAATCCATCAATCACTCCATTATCTTTATAGAATTCAAAGTAGACATAAGAAACATCGTTCATCTTCGTTTACCAATTCTTCGCATTATCAGCTCAATTCCAACATTTTATTAATCCACAGTCATGCTCTGTAATTTGTACCGCTCCTTGCATCTAGGAACGATAACAGAAATGTATCTTGAAAATTTATATTTCACCGTGTATCAGTTTTTTAACCAAGCACCCCCTTCCTGCGATTTAGGTTTAAATCACAGCCACTACGTGGATCCCGAAGGAACCTCAACCAACTGACCAGCCAGGACAAGTCCTGTGGGCAACTGGCCACCCGTAGTACCAGATTATGTGGTGCTCTGGTTAGACCTCTTTTCAATTTATGAAAGGACTAGGCCAGGCAGTAAATTGTCAACACCAATTTATAGTCCCGGAAAACTACAGGTATTGGTAGCACCTATCTACCCCCGGATTGGAATACACCAAGATGCGGTCTGAACATCAAGGAAACATGCCCGGGGGGCCGTATGGGAGGTAACAAGACCCTCTCATGAAAGTCCGCCCATTTTTCTCCCAAATATATAAATGAATTTTAATATTAAATTCATATGGGAGATGCCACGCCTCCAACAGCTAGCCCGCCTATTTTTGTCCTAAACCTTCATGTTGAACCTAAAGTGTCTTTCGAAAAAATGAGTACTCTAGCTGTTATATTTTCACAGATATACTAATTTAAGATTTTCTTTTTTATGGAAGGTACCAAGCCCATTGTAGCTCGGCTGCCAAATTGTTATTATTATTATTTCCATGTATTTATATGGATGTCAAAATTGTCCATATAAAATTTGAGGACTCTAGCTCTTGAAGTTTATGAGATATGCGACTTTTAATTCTTATTTTGTAAGTGGGCGAATTTTCGAAAATTTCGGTCTCTGTTCTAATGTGTTTAGTATAAACTGATGATATGACTTATATCCGTCTTTGGCTAATTCCTTAGAGATAAGAGTAGTTCGTTTCAGCTTATATGGGTTTAGATTGGGGGAATATCTAGTTTTAAGAGCTTAGGTCGGCGCATTGCACCACATATACCTAAAAAAGATGTACTCTGAAATCCCAAAGATAATTGAAGAGTTTGTTAGAATTAACTTTAAAGGCATTCGATAATCTCGATTTTTTTTAAATTGTATAAGAAATACTTGGCTCCACCTGCGTACTTCCTAAGGCACTATTGCTATTGTTCTATAAAATTTGTAATATAACGATTTTGACTGAAATTATTGATCTTGTTCCCGATATTATCATTTTTATATGCAACATACTTCTGCCATTATGAATAGTCAGTGGAAAACATGAATACATTAATACAACTCACAACAAACCAACTTTGCAGAGTGAGATTATATCACATTTATATAATAAATAAATTATGCAAATTCAATAATAACCAACAGAAATTTAATATTTTTTCAACAAACGTTAAAAAGTAAATTTAATATGTATTTCATACTTAAATAATAAAAAAACACAAATGAGCAAAGAAAGGACACCAATTATAATTATCAACACAATACCATACAGAATAATTCATTATCATTATCGTATTTGTCCGTCAGTCTCTTTTTATCAAATAATCAAATTCAATTATAATTAATTCGTGTTAAACATTTAATAACCATAACGAATGGTCATTTCAATTTTCCCAAAAAAAAGTAAAAAAAAAAACGAAAAACAAAATTCAATATTCATTTAGTTGCTCATTAATCTTGAGGGTTTCACTGGTTTGTCTTTTCTTGTTTATATCCATCTTTCCATCTATCTTTTTTTCTCCAATTTAATTTATGTCTGATGGATTCCCTTTCAGTACGTTCGTTGTTGTTGTTGTTCTTGTATATTGTTGGATATTTTTTTTTTTTTTTTTTGGACAAATGTCAGTTTTAGTTAAATCTAAAAATAACCATTGAGAACACATTAATACAAAACAATTCGTATCGTTTTTCGTTAGTTTTTGTATATTTCAATGTTTCAGTTGCTGCTGCTGCTGCTGCTGTTGCGACTAATTCTATGCCACAGTACACATGTCACATGAAATCCATGTTCATTACATTTTATGGCAACACCTACACTACTCATGAAATAATGTTTTATTACGATTTTGGGATTTTTGTCGGTGTTTGTTTTTTTTTCGGTCGAAACCGTGACAGTTTAACTCCAACTAAATAAATCTTAAGGATTGAGCGTACAAGTGAGTGAAATGTTGCGGGTAAGTACAGAATATAAAGTTCGCTTTTCGAGCTTTAATTTATAACACAAAATCCTCGTTAGTTAAGTGAACAGAATCATGAAAACAACAATTGGTGTTTACAATTTTTGACCAATAAACAAACCACATCTTTATTTATTTGCCTGCTGTAGCGTGTCTTATCCTACCGCTTTATCATTATAAAGAAATCTTGATCTTAAAAGTATTTTCTTGGGGTCTAAATGATTACTAGACACAACACCAAAACAAACAATCAACAACATAACAACAGCAACTAGAACAACAATAAGAATTGTCAAAATAACTAAATGAGGTTATGGGTTCATGTAGTAGAGACTACGAGAATACATGACATTAGACAGGGGATAAAGAGGAGGATATTAAAGACATTAGCAGTAAAATTATATAAAAGATTAGGGTGACTCTTAATCTTATCGTTAAAGAACTATTATTTAAAAGTATTTAGCTAAAATATGGAAAAAGTTTTCCGGGAATCACAGACTATAGACTAGACTATAGACTGGACTATAGACTAGACTATAGACTAGACTATAGGCTAGACTATAGACTAGACTATAGACTAGACTATAGACTAAACTATACACTAAACTATAGACTAAACTATAGACTAAACTATAGACTAAACTAGACTAGACTTTAGACTAGACTATAGA